TACGCACACACACACACACACGCACACACACACACACACACACACACACGCACACGCACGGCTGCAGACACAAGTGAAAGACATCATTGCTGGGCCACAGTGCGTGCCAGCAGCATGAGGATGGACGTTCAACAAAGATAGTAGAGTCGTTGATCAGAGAAGCTACCCGCCCCTGCGAGGAAGCCACCCAGCGGCACAGCAGGCGTCTCAGCATGAGTCATGGTTGGAATGCTGAGCCGCTCACAGTATTGCGGAGTGCAAATTGGAGCATGGACCCAACATGCGTTCCCAATTGGGCCGGCTGTGCAGACATCAGGCTCACCTCTTTCCTGGCTCCCCTCTGTGAATAGGTGTGGGCCTGCAAATGGGTTTGCTTGTCTAAGGCTTGTTCTAAGTCATTTAGGTCTTGACCCCCTCCAAGGCGAAGACGTATTGCTTGTTTCCCACGTCTTGCCTTGGCCCATCATCGTCCCTAGCTCTGGCGCTGTTCATGCGCAGCCTACACCTTGTCCCTTCTGACCTGGCCTGCTTTTGGGTGCTGGCACACAAAATGCCCACCACACACCCTTGGATCGTCAAAATGTGGCTGCTGGCCGCAGCCGACGGCAGCGGTGCGCCAAGGTCTGTCACAGGACCTGTGCCCTGTTCGTCCCCATGCGCCTTGACTTCCAGTCTTATCGCGCGACCAACACTTGCAACGCTCCCCAGCTGGTCAGACGGTGGTTTGCATTGGACGGCTCGATCACACGCTGTGCACGCCGGCTGCGAGACCCCGCGTTGTGCGCCGCACCACTGCTTGTGGTCAAAGGCAACAAATCACGATTCATCGCACTCGTACACAATTGCACTGTCAACAACTGAGAGTTGCGCGCAGAGGCGACTGCGCCAGGCCCCTTCTGCGCAGGCGCTCCGCAGCGGAATTTCAACAGCGTGTGCGCCCACATCCTGTTGCCCACATCTTGTCGGTCTTGTACAGGACCGACACCAGCCCGGGCGATGCCTTGCCAACAACCCCGCTTCTTTGCTTGATGGTCAACAACACATGCACTCCTATTCATCCTTGGTCCCACATAGTTTCCAACGGGTCCTTGGCATTGCCCCCGCACCCTGCTGCGAGACTCTGCTGTGCTTGCGTGCGGCCGCCCCGCGAGCCGGGGCGGGCTGCAATTGGTTTGTGCTGTTTCAAGGAACAACCCAACTGGGCATCGTCATCAGGCGTACGCCTTGCTTTGTGTGTGATCGTGCACTGCATGCCCAACTTGACACCACATCCTGTCATCTTTGCCGCCCCAACTAGGAAAAAATAGCTGCGTTGGTGGTGTCTCAGCCGGCCGCTGCCTTCAACCCGCCTTACATCGCGAGCTGTTGATTTGCTTCCTCGCACACCACCAGACCTGCTTCCCCCAACCCCCGGTTGGGCTGGGGCCTGGCATCCTGGTTTTGCAGGCAGCGCGGGTGCTGCTGCCCGGGCAGTGAGCTTGTCTGGCAATCGCTTTGGAAAATGCGTTGATGCTGCACGCATCCGCCAATTGTGCCTTCTCTCTGGCGGCGTATTCTTGTCGGCGTCCTTGCTAATCACACTCTCAACAACGCACGCACTTGGCGACTTGGGTGTCCTTGGCGCCGAAATAAATGAGTAATAATTCCTATTCCGTCGCTGCCTTGCAATCCAATGACAAGGCTGTTGCAAACTGGCCAAGGACTAGCACTGAGGCCCACTGTTGCTCTCGCCTTTGCAAATCAGCAGGTCAGGACAGAGACTTCAGCTTTGGATTTTGGTGGGGTAGTGAATTGTTTGCAGCACAGTGAGCGTGCAGGGACCGGCCCTGACGCGCCCAGGCTTGGCAGACGCCCGAGCCTCCTGCTGGCCCCCGTTTCTCACGGTCTGTCCAATCAACCAGCCCGGCGGACCTGGTTTAGGCCCGACCACACAGTGGCTGCCGCACCACACCATCGACTCGTGCTTCCCGTTGTGGCGCCAGCTGCGCATCAAGGGCGACATGTGTTGCCCTTGTGCCCCTGCCGCGCTGAGCTCAAGTGCGGCGCTGTCCAAGTTGCCCGGTCCTTGCCGGCGCTGAGCATGCCGACTGCCATCAGTCATGCGTGAACAAGGGCAAGCTGGAAGTTTACGAATCTGGACGATCATTGCCAGAAATCAAGGCCTTCAAAAGCATCGGAACTGCCGCAGGGACATCGCACATCATGCAAACGCACCGGCGTTGCACGCAAAATTGCGTTGCTGGTGCGTGGGGTAACCCAAGCAAGTGGGCCGTCAGGATTGGCGCAAGCCAAGCAACTGTCCAGCAGGAGCAACCGCCCAGCAAGCACGGGCCTTTGAGCCAAAGTAGCTGCGTCGCAGCCGGCTGCGCATGCAGCAATGCGCAGCCCCGCAGCCCCCAACAGCGCCACCATGTGCTTGAGCTGCCACCGCCAGCAGCGACGGCACCCCACCAACTCTGAGAAACAGGCTGCAAGAAGAAAAAGCAAAGCCAAAAGCCGCGTGGGCCTGCCAAGCAGGGCCGCAGCGGCCCCGCCAGCACGGAGCTGCGCAGTGCCGCACCGCAGCCGCGCGCCGCTCCAGTCGGGCCTGGCCCACCCCCTGCGCCAGCCGCAGCCCAGACCTCGGCCCCGGCTGATCACCCCCGCTGATCACTCCTCGGATCATTAGAAGACAGAGCCGCCGCCCTGCGCGGCCACCTCCTTCTCGTAGGACTCGTAGTACTGATAGATGATGGTGACAGCCAGCAGGATCCCCGTGCCGCTGCCGATGGCGCCCATCAGGTCGGCCGCGATGGTCAGGGCGCCGATGCACATGCCGCCAAACTGTATGTTGAAAGGTGGCGCAAGCGGGTCGCGGGCAGGGGTAAGGGCGGGGTCGGAAGGAGCGGCCGGGCGGGGCAGGGCGGGGCAGGGCGAAGAAAGGGCGCTGCAGGCATCGCGCCGCGCGCTTGCCCGTCTGCGGGGCCACCTCAGGTGGCGGCTAGCAGCCGCCGTGGCCCTGCCTCCTGCTACACTGCACCTGCTCGTACCAGAAGCAAACGGACTCTCCACAACAGACACACCCACACCAGAAGCAAACAGCCCCCCCACAACAAACGCATACACAGACACATACACATTTAGGCGCGCGCACGCACCGCGGCGGCGACGGGGATGTATCTGTTGAGCTCCTTCTTGAGGGACGACTGCGTGTCCCTGTGCCCCTGGATGAACATCTGCTGCTCCTTGAGCTGCTTGGCCACGTCTGACGCGCTGCTGCCGGACACCTCGATCCAGGTCTTGGAGAACAGCGCGCACGCGGTCAGCATGAACGCGGTGTACACCACCGCATGCAGCGGGTTGGCGGCGACGTCGGCGAGGCTGGTCGGGGGCGTGATGTAGTAGGCGAGCCCGCCGACCGGCGCCATCTGGCCGTTCCACTCGTTCTCCTGCCACTGGCCGAGCAGGCGGACGAGGAAGTTGCCGCCGTAGCGCTTGTACAGCAGCTGGGAGATGAAGTACATGTTGGAC